TACCAGGGGTCCTCAAACTTTTTAAACAGGGGGCCAGTTCACTGTCCCTCAGACCGTTGGAGGGTTGGACTATAGTTTAAAAAAAAACAAAACTATGAACAAATTCCTATGCACACTGCACATATCTTATTTTGAAGTTAAAAAAACAAATGTTTTCAGCGGGCTGCAGTTTGGGGACCCCTGGATCAGTCTCAGTGGCAAGTCTCAGAGTACTGTGGGGCAGATTAATCTACAGAGGACACATTAGTTAAGTGTTGCTAGTTTTTTCATTATAATATCTTAATTTGCTCTGGGTTTCCTCTCATGAGTGTTCATCTTTTAAAAACAATTTATATGCCCTGGCGGGGTAGTTCTGTTGGTTAGAGCTGTGTCCCAATACGCCAACATTGCGGGTTCCATTCCCAGTCAGGGCACATACAAGAATCAACTAATGAATGCTAAATAAGCGGAACAACAAATCGATGTTTCTCTCTAAAAAAAAAAAAAAAAAAAAAAAAAAAATTAAATAAAAAATGACCTATATAGATCCTTTGGTTCTAATATTATTATTAATTGTGCAACAAACAGAATACGATGAGATACACAAAGCTCCTGGCTCCAGAGGACAGACAACCAGACAATGAAGATTCATGTTTTTGTTTTTCGATCTTTTAAAAAATTGCAATATAATTGACATATAACATTAGTTAGTGTCAGGTGTAAAATGATTCAGTATTTGTATGCGAGGATTCGTGTTTGAGATTCACATTCCAAACAGGGAACTTCTGTGGGAGCCAAAGGACCCACCCCTGCCCCAAGCCATTTCTTTCTTTGAAATTTACACATCATCGCAGTTTTGATCCCTTCCAGGCAAAGGTTTCATTCACGTTTAGGAGGATATAACCAGCGACCTTGCTTCGCAAAGTCCAAACCCCCAAACATGGACATGCTCAATATTCAGAAGTTAAGTGACCAGGATAGAATTTTTTGTTCCATTTTCCAAGTCCACAGATGTTACTTTTCCTGTTAAGTGTGGTTATGAGAATATGTACACACAGGCACCATACCTCAGTGATTAGCATTTGCGGGCAATAATGACCCTCTGGTCCCTGTGCCTTGGTGAGAAGAATTGGGAGACAAAGGACTGCAGATGAATTCTTGAATTACTTCACAAAGTTTTGTTCCTCCCCTGCTCAAGATCATCTCCGCCCCCCTCCCCGCCAGTGGAGACAGCAGGCTTTTTCAGTCTCACCAACATCCTCACACAAACACGAATTTTCATGGAAGTCAATACAAGTGAGTCAGGCCTGGCCAGAGTGGGTCAGTGGTTGAGTGTCGACTTACGAACCAGGAGGTCATGGTTCGATTCCAGGTCAGGGCACATGCCGGGTTGTGGGCACGATCCCCAGGGTGGGGCATGCAGGAGGCAGCCAATCGATGATTCTCTCACCGGTGTTTTTAACTCTTCCTCCCTCTCCCTTCCTCTATCTGAAATCAATAAAAATATGTTTTAAAAGAAACAGAGGTGAGTCTGTTAACAATCTGGCTTTCACACCACCTTCCTCACTTACTCTGGCCAAGTCTCTCACTGTGGGACTGCTGTTTTTTTATGCAAGAGAGGGTATGTTTGGTGCTTGTTTTGAATTTTTAAGGTATTATTTTAGGTGATTAAATAAGCAAATGAAAACATTCTCAAAAATGATTGAAATCTGTTGTATTTATTTCTTGCTAAAGTTTGTACATTTACATATATCATATACATACTTTAAATCCTTCACTATTTCGCATGATTTCTATTACATAAAAACCATTTAAATGCAATAAATTTTGTTGCTGTAAAACAACAAATTAGCCCCAACTTATAAAAACACAAGAACAGCTCTATTCATGAACATTTACACAATAGAGAAATGTACTATATATATATCTCACGGCTTCTATACACGGCAGGGGACTCACTCGTCTACACGGTTTAGGTTTACTTCAACAACAGTGAAATGTAATATTTATATACAACTATTTTAATAAAAATAAAGCAATTGTAAAATGTAAACTTAATTTTTAAAATATTCTTTAAACACTTTAACAATATCCACATAAATTACTGTTCCGTTCCAAAGGTGACCACCCCAAATGCCCTAATTTTCTGAGAGATGCGTTTCTTCCATCTGGCGGGTGGCGACGAGGAACAGGCTTCCAGGACATGACTCGGTACCGTGAGCTCACCCGTCTGCTAATGCTGACGGTCTGGCCACTGACAAGGAGTGGCTGCTACTTGTCACTGATCGCTTTCACAGTCTGCAGGGACTATGGCACCAACACTGGATGGGGCTGAAGTGGTGGGTGGAGAAAACTTTGAAGGTGAAGGAATGTTCCACACTGCCCTTACTGCCCGTTAGCCTGAGCCACCGTGAATGGGATCCAGTTAATGGCTGGCAAGTTAAAAGCTCGCTCTCTATAGGCACACATATGACTAAAGACACTAGCGGCCTCCCCCTGCCCAGCCTGCGGTAATCAAGGCTGACAGCATCGGTTCTCCACTTGCGTAATTTCTGTTCTAGAAACGGCTCCTAAAACGTGAGGTAGAAGGGAATGCAGGGAGGCGTCTAGGCCTTCACCCCACAGCTTTCCTCTGGACTGAGCAGACGGCTAAGCAGTCAGCTTCGCGTGCCTTGACCCTTCCCCCAGAAAGGAAACATTTTGCATTTCCAGAAATCTGGGTGCAAAAGCAAAGACCTCACCCATCCTTGGCTAGAGCTCAGTGTGCCAGCTTGTGTCATGGCTTCAGACAGAGTATTATTATGCCATTATCACATGCCCCCCTCCACTCTCACCACCCCCCTCACCCCCCCAGGGCCCCAGTCCCTCTCAGAGCTGTTATCTTGCCTCAGCAGGGTCAGCCCACTAGGATGCTGGATTCCCACAGCCGGGAAGCGGCATGTGAAACCCAGGGTGTGCTTGCTGCCCAGTGGGAGCCCACGTGGAGTGGAAGGCCAGACGCGATCCTCCCTGCAGAGAGAATACGTTACCCCCTCTGTGGGCTCCGGGTCAGGGGCCAGAGCAAGGAGCCTCAGACCTGCCAGGCTGCTCTTCGCTGAATTTTGTGGCTGGGACTTTGTGTCTATAGACTGATCAAGGCAGGCTCACAGGCAAATAGTAAGTGAAACTCCAAAATTTTCTCCACTGATCAACATTTTCAGGAATTGAAGTTAAGGTGCTTATTTTATAACACTATTCGTGAGAGCTGAGCTCTCTGCCCTGCAAAGGGAAACACTAGCTAGTCCCTTCCCATTGTTGATGAAAAGTGCTTAGCGGTTCCGCAAGCCTCAGCCGGCGCTCCCCCCAGCAGGGCAGCGCAGAGGGGAGGTGGACCAGCACAGCGCTCCTACGGTTAGTGCTTTGTGGCTTTCTTTCTTGAATCATCTCCAGAGCCAGCCGCAATGCCGCCCGGGAAACCCGTGCACCGGCCTGCTGGAACCTCCCCAGGTTGCTGCAGGATGTGGAGAGCAGCTTCTTGGGAATGACAAGCGAGCCTCAGTGGGGTGTTGCCAGAAAGGATGCGACATGTATCCCCTCTCTTATTGGTTAAATGCAGTGCATCTCAGAGCCGGACACTTGGCCACAGCCTCTTCCCCGCCCCGGGAAACACTCCTGGGATGCCATTCCCACCCCCTTGCCCATCACCTCTTTAGAACCCTCTGGTCCGGGTTTCTAAGTTTGTAGAACTTAAAACATTCACCGTGTGTACGTGTGTGCAAGCGTACGTACACAGGTGAGAAGCCCAGACGTGGGAACCTTGCTCCCTACACGCCGGACAGGACAGTAAACTGGTTCCCAATCTCTCAGAGCAGAGGACTGGCCACATCACGTCCACCCCCAAAGGGCAGGTGGCCAGCTCACACTCCCCACCCCCGACTTTAATTTGGTCTAATTACTCCCGTTCCTATAGCTTAAAGAAAGTATGTTACTGGCATTAAACATCCGTGTGCATATACTCTCTGCAGAGCGGATATTATTATCCATGCCAAAGCTTACTTGGCTTCCTAACCTACATGGCTTTATGCTGAAAGTCCAAACATGTCAACTAATTAAGGCCCAAAATGAAGCTTTTTTATTGTTGCTACTCCTTTAGTGTATGATTTCTGCAAAGCACTATAATTCTTAGAAGGAAACACACTCGTGCAGAACAAAGACCCTGCTGATCAGTCAGAGCCAGGCCACCACACATCAAGAACAAATCAGGAATATGGTAGATTTGCAAAAATAATTCGGGACTGTAGAGTGAATTTAAAAAGCTCAAGTTTTAACTACCAACACACGACTGCAGCCTGGAGCCGAAGGCTGGTCTCCACTCTACACCCCAACGCTGACTCAGGATCAGACACAAGAGCACGAGGCCTCAACCACTCACTCAAACACACTCAGATGCAGCTGAGAATACACCAAACATGCTGGCTCAGAAAATTTAATCTCTAGTTTCCTATGTACACACTGCCAGATAAGCAGTAGCTCAAACAACTAAGGCCAGTGGCTCTTCTTTGGGGAGAGGCGGAAAGAGACCCAAGTATAAAAATATTAAAGTGTTAACCTGGCCCATAGCCTGTCCTAAAATTCTTCTACCTGTGACACTAGATGCGAGTTGTGCAGCTGCGAGCCTAGCTTGGGAAGTACCCTATCTTGGGAAGCCCTGATACACGTCAGCGTGTGTACTATCACTTTAAAGGAAGAAGTAAGGATGTGGCATGAGGAGAGGGTTTGTTTTGACCCACTACAGAACAGACACAAGCACCTACATGAGCTGGTGGGTCCTTACTTACTTAGTTCTCCTGAAAGCTCTATTTTCCTGGACTAATTACAACAATAAAGAACGCGTGCTTTAAAGCATCACATTTTGTAAAAAGTCCCAAACTGTCAGTTTGACATTATGTTTAAGTGCTCTTAATACTGAAGTTGCTAAGACGGCTTATTTGTTTTTGTTTTGTTTTTTCGCCCCTTTCTGTAATCTCAAATTATGATGAGTGGCCCCCTTGGTATTGTACACAGGACACTGAAATAGTTTCACAAAGTTGGTTCTGGGTCATTTTTTTTTTTTGCCCTGGTGATTCAAAGCTCAAAGATGAAATTTTCTAGCATAAAATCTTATTTTTTCAAAAATTTAATCAAAATATCATTTGACTTTAAGTTGAGTAAAACAGTACCACTACATATGTTCTCAATAACTGCATTATATACTCAATCCTATGAGGTTTTTACTTGCTGTTCATATCACACTGGTTATTAAGGACAAAAATAAATTGGATGTACATACACCATATACTGATATACAACTACACATGAATAACATATACATACATACAGCCATAAATACCCACAAACACGACATTGGCAAGTGACAGGAAAGCATTTTCTTTGATGCCTGACATACTATCTACATGGACATTTTCCAAAAGCCTGAAATAGTACAGACACACACATATATCACACAGGGCGAGCCAGAGATGGATGGAAACCTACGGTATATACAATTAAGTAACTTGCAATATTTTCTTGCTGTTGCATTCAAGTCAACAAACTGCCATGCAGATTCAAGTATTACCGACATTCTCCCTATGAGGACACTCTCCCACATGCACTGTCCTAGCAGCGAGCTGCCCGCTTGGGTTTGATACTCTAGGTACATCATGAGAATGGCAATGACTTTGGACTCCAGCCCTCGGGTAGGAGGGGGGCATGGGCAGGGAAGCTGAGAGGAGAGGCAGTGACCGACCACCTCTCTCTCACCTGCTGGGGGCATTTCGTGGTGAACTGTTGATCTCTAAGGTCCTCGGGATGACTTGATGGCGAGATGCCAGAGGCTGGTGGGGAGGCAGATGGTGGCCTTTTGGGAGGAGAGACAGCCAGGAGTCCTGGGGCAAGGTCGGCCCAAGGGCTCCTCTGCCTGCAGAGGGGGCTGGTCTTTCTCTGTCGCAGTGACTTCGATGCTCTGAGGAAAGCAGGTGTTACTAAAACCCCAAATCACACTCTTCCTCATGCCAGACTCTACCTTCACAAGCCCTAGGATGCCACTGTGGTTTTGATTTATACCTGGAAACAATTCTGCCACTGCAAGAGCGAAGGGACCGTTCACTGCTGAGATGAAGGAAGGTGACTACCACCCACTGAACACTGCACAGGGTCACCAGAGCCAAACGACAGAGATTTGCATGAACAAGGCCAGTTAACCCCCTATGAATTCAGGCTTAAAAAACTTAATTGATGACTGCAAGGAAAAATGCCAAAGGAATTCAAATATCAGGACAACTAACCAAATCCAAGAAAGTCTCCATACTACGACAACAGGGAAACTTCTTTAAGGTCCGTTTTCTCCCAGTTGTCTCTGACTTGCGATAAAGGCAGAGAAGAGGTGCGCTCCTGCCACAGAAGGCCCTGCCTCACCTAAGAACACCTTCCAGGCTCCTCACAGGACAGAGGAGCAGCGGGCAAGGGCCAGCAGAAAACCCTGTAACTTTGTGCTTTGGCCTCCTTCCCTGCTACTTGTCTCAATTCCTCTCCAGCCTCAGAAGTTCTGTGGTGTGGCCACAGGTGAAATACAAACTCAAAAGACCAAGCCCAGCGAGGCCCCGGCAAGCCAGCCACAGGAACTCCCGCACATCGCTTCCAACCAGGAAACAGTGCCCGCCCGGAGCTATGGTAACAGTCGGAGAAGCACGGAGGGCCGCGGGCAGCCACTCTCTACCCAGGAACTCCAGTTCCACCAGGGGAATCTCCCACATGTTGGTTTTAATGAGATGATTTAAACTGCACACAAGTATTGCTTGGCTTAACTAGGCATCGCTAAGAGTTAATGAGAGGATGCTTTTAAAAAGTGCACTTCACACAGTATCTATGGCCTGGCAATAGAACAAGGACTCTGCCTGCGAGTAACTAAGTCTTGGTCGCTAACGAGAAATCCCTGGCACCTCCCTGTAACAGTCAGCACGTGAGGCGGGAACCAGCCCCGAAACACGCAGAGATTTGACACTCGGGCCACTTCTCGGCTCCAGTGGGCAACAGCATGACCACAGAGTCTTTTGATGACTATCAAGATTTTCTGGACTGAAAATTAATATGAAGCGAGTGTATGTAAAGAGGAATAATGGCTTACCATGTGGAGAGCGACGCAGGGCTCCATGCTGACGTATGGGAGGGGAGAGGAGGGAAGGGGGCGTACCTTCGGAAGGAGAGGAGGAGGAGAGCTCCCCTGTACCGTGAATTAGGCCGTAGGCTTGGGTTAGCGGTGAAAGGAATGTCTTTGAATTCTTCTGACTAGATCCCATAGGAAAGAAATGATCACAGAAGAAAACGTGGTTGGCTATGGGTACGATTCTCACGATCTCGTCAAACCAGGGGCCGCTTCCTCCTACAGGATACACTCTTGACCTGCTAGGTACGCTGACAACAGACAGACACCTGACAGGCCTCAGGAGGTGTTCATGGCCCGTCCCCTAAAGATGGACATCATCATGGCAGGGCGGGCTGCCCCCTGGCTCAGCAAATAGCCTTGCGGTTATTTTTAAAGATACACTATGCAAACACCGCATACCGCAGCCTCAAAAGTGCCCTTCTCATCCCATTACTATTAGCATGTGCAGAAGCCCCTGGAGACACATCAGTGACTCACACAGCGGGAGCCATGTCCCGCTGTGCTAACCGAGGATTCAGAGCTGCTCTGAACGCCAGGCTCGGCAGCAAGGTACCGTTCTGTTCATTAAATCCTACAAGTGGAACACACAGGGACCCTATGTACACAGACACACACACACTGTGGGCAGACACATGTAAGCCCGTCAGGGACTTTTTTTCCCTTTAGTTATCGAAGCTCAGAGACAACCTGGCCTAGGGATCTCTCTCCCCTCGGCTCAGGATAAGGAACTAGGCAGCAAACAAGCAGGCCGATCATTCAGATTCTAGGAAGAAAGATGATTCCCTTGTGGGAATCCTGAACACAGTCAGAAGCTACAGAAATGAATCAGGTCTTACGAGCCACATTGGTAACTATCCTATTCGTTTCTTGGTTCTGAAACATAAATTGTCATTGCCTTTATCTACACAAGACAGAAGGTTAGAGTGAGTTTTTCAAAGGCGTGGCAAAGTACTTATCACAAAACAAGCGGCTATCCCCTTAGTGAGGGGTTTCTCTTTTCTGGGCACCATCAACTATGAACATTTATATAGGCAGGAAGTGAATGTGAATAAATAATCATGTGATTTAATGCCACTGGAAATGGCCACGGTTTAAGAGCAGGCTTTCTCTAACTCCCTGGAACCATGCTATGCATGCAGAGTCCCCGATTCTTTGGTCATAGTACCTTTAACTAATACACTGAGTAGAACTAGAGAAATTTTCTGTGGGAGGGGAAAAGAGCATTCAAAGTGACTCCTCCAGTTCTGAAGTTGTGGAGATTACAGCTGTAAGGATCACAAAGTTTCAACATCAGAAAGTTCTAACTCATGGTGGGCTCAATTTTCACTCCTATCTCTTCCTATACAAGAGAATGTTCTTTTTATCACCCTGAATTCCACAGGGACCGTCACGGAAACAAGCTTATGACTTCAAGGTCAACAGAATGATTTTGAGCAGATAGAAAGAAATGATTTAAAATAGTCTTTATTCTTAGGAGAAGGTTCAGTAGGAGCAAAGAGAAGTGACTATCAAAGAGACTTAAGATAAGAATAAACTAAGTAACTCGGTATATGCAACCGGCAGAGTCCTCACTTTTCCAACCACAGTCCATTCAGACTATTGATTACTCTCAGATGGACTTTAAAGACTCAGGATTCCGTTGCTGGAAACCTGCAGCTCCCTGTTCTTCTCTTATTTGTTTTTCTTAAGACCCTGATGTTCTTACAACCAGGAGACAACAGCTGCCTACACGTTTAAACTCCTGGATGACAAGGGTGATGACAATAGAGATGGTTCTGGATTCCTGGTCTAGACCCCTGGGAGCGAGGTAACAGTTTCCTGCAGTGTGAACACGTGCCTCCTGCTGCCGCTCCCAAGAGTTGATCATTATCATGCTTCTTTAGAGAACAAAATGAACCTTGTGTCATCTTTCCTTAACCTTCAAGGGCAAAAAGGCCCCACCTCCTCTTTCCTTGCTTGGCTAAAATGGACTCAACGCTCCAACACGCTTCGTAAGTTCTCCAGTCCCTCGATCTCCGCACCCCTCTCCCTGCTTCCCGCAGGGTCAGACCCCAAAGACAAGTGCTGAGGTGCCCGCACAGCTGCGTCAGCGTGGAACACACGATTTCCAAACTGGAATTTTGAAGCGAACTTCTGTGAGTGCTCAATGCCACCTCTGTGACTGGCAAGAATTCACATATGAAGGTTTATGTTAAGTCTGGCTGGAACTGATCAAACTAAGTTTGTCCAGTAAAGTGGTTCACAACGGATTCATTTTTTTTTTAACCTTAAAAAAAAGTGTAACAGTTGGTTTGAGAATACATGAAACAACTGAGAGAGTGCAAACAAGAGAAAGCCAAAGGAGAAGTGACACACAATTCAATCTGAAGTCATGACCCCTCCCCTCACAAAAAGGTGCATTAGTTATCAAGTGGCGAAAATCGTCAAAGCAAAGAAATCAAGAGCAAAGAGACAATCTGCACAGAAACGAACAAAAATATACAATAGAAAAGGTTACTAATGCACCATTTAGTCACAGACTATTGTTTTTGTTTTTTTAAATATATTCACGGATTTACCAGAAGGATCTTGAAAAACTCTGTTTTGCTCCATGACCAGCCCTTTCCTGGTCGCAGATGGATTCTAAGTAACTTTTTGCTTAATGCTGGGCGTTTCGGGTCGGTGATCTTTCCGCTCTGACACGTTGCGCTTGACTTTGGCAGTGACCGGAGATGAATCTGGGTTCAGAGAAGGACTCGAATGCGACTTCTTCAGTCCTGGGGCTTCACTGCCGTTGTTGCCCAGGAGCTTCTTGCCGCCTTCTTTCAGAATGCCGATGTACGTCTCATACCGGGTTTGCTGGAGGGGAAATCAGAGAAGAACTGCTGTCAACACACTGTTCACAAATGCACGCGTGCAGCACGCCCAGTGCAATGACTACCTGGAGCGCGGCCTGGCTGTTGAAGACTTGACTTCATTCCCCAAAGTGGGCAACAGCCCCAGGGGACTGATGGACTCACTCGTTTAGATGAGAAATGAAGACAGAACTTTAGTTCAAGTTTGCTCTGCATTCTGAAAGAATGCCGACTTGGAGTTACTGGCCATCAGATGGAGGAATCATGCTATCTGAACACTCAGCCACAAGAAGGGTGTAAGTGGGAGAGGCTGTAACTTCCTGATTTTTGGCGACTGGGTGGCTCCAATGGCTCTGTGCTGCCTGCACCCACTTGAACTTCCCTCACGTGACCTAGGTGTCACTTGAACCTGGCTTGAATATGGTCCCTGTAACTCTACAAAGACTCATCTGGAGGAATCAGTCTATGGGGACTCGACTTTCTAGTCCCCTATGAGACCACAACACTTTCCAGCTGCTCTGGGTTTCCTGCCAAACTTCAAATTATTTTCTGATACTTTTCTCATTCTACAAAATTTTTCCACCAATGATTTGTTGAGTATTCACTCCATTTTAAATAGTTCCTGATTCTCTTGTCGCTGGGCATCTTTTTGTATGAATAACTGAAAAGAACATAGCAGAGAATTTTTCCCCCCTCTAACTCTAATTGGTACTTTTTAAAAAGCTTCTGAGTCACTATTTAGAACTATTATATAGATTGAAAATTACAGAAGGATCTCAGATTCTTGATTTGATAGATTCTAGTCAAAATAAGTCAGATGAGAAGAAAAGGCAAAGCAAAGGAAAGGTGGAAGGGGGCCAGAAAGCGAGGGGTGCGTGGTCGTGGTTGAGAGAAATAAGGGAGAGTGCAGTGGGTTCACGAACGTCCCAGGGGCTGTGCTGTTTCTGAGTTACAATGGCTTACAGGGACACAGGCTATGAAACCCAGTAACATAGCTTTGCTTTTTACCATTTTCTGAAACCCAACCACATGCCTCTTCAAAATACTTTAGCTAAACATCTTTGAGAACCATTAGTGGATATTGGTTTCTGCCATGTCTTCCTGGATTACAGACCCATCTAAATATGTAAATCTCTCCCACTCCCAAATATTTCCTCTGAGTAAAGGAACAGCTTTGCATGAAGCTCTGACCAGCAGTGGGAACAGACATAGAGGTGGATGCTTGATGAGTTCCCAAGTCAGTAATCTCTGGGGACACTTAATCTCCAGTGTACCACATTCCCATGTTTCCCAAAAAATCACCCCGGTCTGACCCTGTGAGGCAGTGCTGAGGCTCAGGAGCCACCACCCAGCAAAGATTTGTCTGTATCCTACCACGTCCACGTTCACATCCACCTGACCGGGACTGTCGAGATGCCGTGCATGGCAAACCCAGCACAGCTACACCGAGTGAGGGGCAGGCTGCTGTGCTTAAGACTGGGCTCTCTCTCCACACATAAAGAAAAGTAGTTTATACCATACTTTTGAGGTTAACAAAACAGATATATGTGTTCTGAGTATCTCTTATCTAGCAGTAAATGAGACCAAAATATTATTTTCCATGTTCATCTTAAAAACAAAGAGAAACTGGACCACTGTATATGGCTACGTTGGATGTTCATTTGGACAGTAACTAGATGTCATTCATACATGAAAAGCAGCCTCTAAATTTAACCCTATAACAAAGCATTCATTAAAGAGATAAAAATCTGTCAATGGTTATTTATATCTGATTTCCTTGGCCTGATCATTTTTACATGTGATTTACATGCAATGTACCAGGAGCATGGTCAATACTTCAATACTAACCTAAGGTTCTAGGCTCCCTGGGTTGGAGAGTAGCAGTCTCATCAGTATTAACACAGAAAAGAACCTGCTGCTGACACTAACAAGTAAACAGTAACATGAAAGTTTTGTACTCTTTTCTGACAATATTATTCATAACCAGAAGGTAGAAAGGTAAGAAGAAATGAAAACACCTGAATGTTTTAATGAATGTAGTTTCATGCCACAAAGTAATCACACGATGCGAGAATGAGCACAGCTCGGGTTAGGTTAAAAACGTGATGGGATGTAGGAAGTGAGTCTGGGAGGTGCCTGTGGAGTGAAGGACCAGCTTTGGGGCCAGGTGGCGTGGTTCGGGCACTGCACTAACAAAAAGTGCAGCATCAACTCATTTTCCTAAATCGTTAGTCTTCATTATGGAGCCCTTTCAAGTGTGTGTCTTTCATTAGGAAGGGCACAGAGGGTTTGAGAATAAGACGTGCCTCAGGGACAATTTGCTGCCTTTGGTTAGGTTACTAAAGATTTTGTTTTAGTCTCTTGCCGATTCGTTCTCAGATCAATTCTTAGAAATGTCAGTGCTGTGTGCTCAGCGTCCGCCCTCAGAAATCCTCCAAGAGTGTGAGTAGATTGCTAACAGGACGGCTGCCTGATCCAATTCCACCGTCAGAACAAAAAGCTTGCGATGGGGTTACCAAATCCCAGTCCAGCAGCTATGCTCTGCAGATAAGCATCTGAATATTGTTTTTATGGTTTTGTCCTCTCAGCAAAACTCTCCGCCTTAATTTCCTTCTTAAGATTTGCTGTTTTCATGACGCCTTCTGTGGCCAAGAGCCAAAGACAATTCCAGTGTTTAATGGCTTCTTTATCTACTAAAATAAAGTCTTTCTTCCCTCTGTAACCTCCTTACATTTTTTGCTGTATTACTTTATTAAGTTGGCCTTTAATTACTTGTAAAAATACTTCTCAGACGCATAGAAAAATATATCCCTGGTCACTAGTAGCGAAGCTAACTTGGGAGGAATAAAAAACACCATGTCCAAGGCCAAGCAAGCTGCTGCATAAGTTGAAGGTTAATTGTCTGCTTAAAAAAAAAAAAAATCACACCTACCGATGTTATTTGAGGAGAAATGTAATCCCATCCACACATACATGTACATGCACCTGACAGAGCAGTTTCTTTTCTCTTGAGCCCTGCATACTATTTTTTACTTGATTTGATGGAACGCTCTCTCCTTCTGCCCTCTGCTATGAATACGACAGTAACCACCGGAATGAAAATAAAGCTGCACCGCCACTTGTAACACAGAGCTGTCATCTGCATTCAGACCTCACAGCTCCACAGTCCCAGCCTGAATACATTTCCTCCTGACATTTTCCTTCCTCACCAGGGCAGGGGAAAGGCCATCTTAGAATGAAATGGGAAGAAACTAATAATGTCATGTACATAGCAAACATCTTTTGCTCCTAGATCTCTGTGCTGGAAAACAAAAAATAAAAACAAGCAAACAAAACAAGGAGGAGCTTTTGAAGTAACTGCTTATTTAAATAAAGACTGTGTTTGCATTCTCTTGGGGATGATGGCAGAATTGATTTGCATAGACTTTCTCCTTGATCAGTTGGCTCACCCACCACTACCTGCTAACTTATGAAAGTAATTACATTCAAAATAGAGTTTCCTATAAGTTCTTATCTAAAAATGTAAAGTTTTTTCCCTATTTTCCCCTCCTACTTCCCTATCAGTCTTCAGCATGCAGAGGTAACCCACTGCCTGTGGGTATACAGCAAATACACACATTTTTGGTTCACCGGGTCTGTATTTGTGGCTTTCAGGAAAACCTTAGGAAGTGTGGATTCAATGCCTTTGTTTCACTCTACCTTTTGGCTCTATGGCTCTCTAAATAAATTTTGTGACTTCAATTAAAAAAAAACTTTAAAATAAAAAACTCACTTCTTATAATAATACAAGCAGAAGAGGTCAAAAAGCCGCGATCAGACAAAAAGGACCGGGCTGGTAGGACATGCTTTGAGAGCGTCAGTGTGTCCATTCTGCAGCCCCAGCCCCTGCCCCTATGGCACCCAGTGTTTGCCAGAGGATTGATTACTCAGGCCAATCCACTGCCCGAGAGAGAAAGCAGAGCTCACAGGCCAGGGACGGCTCTCCCCCATCCCTGGTCCTGCTACTGCCCTCCTCAGGGTCTAGCCGAGAACAGCACTTGGGCTGTTAAGGACAGTCTTCCTGATTCAAGAAGTAATTTTTAAGCACTGCTACCTCTCATTCTTTTCTTCGTTACTCTAGTTCTCAAAATCCTTTCTATAAAGCCAGTCTGTTTCAGTACCCAGATATTTTTCTTTTAAAAAAGGCAATCCAAATTCTGAATTTAAAAATCCACAAAGCTCACTTAGAAAAGATACGTATTTTGTTTTCTGTGTGGAAACTTCAAGAAATTAATTGCCCAGTTCAGACCCACCAACTGGGGGCTCCAGTCACCCCAGTTCCTAAGGGCCCCACCCAGTGTGGCCTTGTGGGAGGGTTTTGACACCAGCCTAGTATAAAACTAACTTTAAAAAAATCACCGATTGGATTAATGGCATTTAAAAATTTTGCTACTCAGTAAAATGGAGGGAAAAAAGTCCTTTGAAACACAGGGATATGAAGTTAAGTTTCTATATACCCAGAGAGGAATTTGAGTAGAGAAACACTACTTATCTGACAAAAGGCTAACTTGAGCTCTTATGGGATAAAAGTTGTCTCTCACTGAACTGTTCCTTAGGGGACTCACATCTAACGCAACATTTCAGTGCATTTTGACAACTTTTTTATACAGGCCGTGCTCCTAGTATTTCAGTTTATACTTTGTCTATGCTTCTGATTGCCCTGGAATCCTAAGGTCCTACACACACCCCTCAGAGGCCCGTCCCCGAACTTCTTCCCGGCAGCCTGTCTGTCAGACTCACAGCTCCAGAGAGGTCAATGGCAGGCATGAGGGACACAGGCAGTTTTTCGAGGGCATTTGTCAAGTAGGATTTCAGGACGCTTTGAAGGACCTTTGCTCTAAGCTGCCTTCTCCCATGGCATTTCATCCCCAAGATTATTAATTGCTTTTGAGCTTAAAGCGCTTTTACACCTTCTGCATTCCCAATTCGAATGCCCCTTCCTGTAGGAAGTCCCATAAGCTAGCA